CGATTCTTCGCGTCAGTCGGCCCCGACGTGGCTGACGCCCTGGCCGCGGAGGACACCGGGGACAGACTGACACCCCGTCCGCCACGTGTGTGCTCGGGTGCATTCAGACCGCGGGCCGCCACTCTCCCCGAGCTTTCTGCGGCGCTCCAGCGGTTGGGATCCTCGCGGGCATGCGGATCAGACGGCATCACTGTGCACATGTTGCGTGAAACGTTCCCAGTGATTGGCCCCAAGCTTCTGGCGCTAGTCAACAGTTCTATTGTTAGTTGTGACGTACCTGTGTCATGGAAGGCCGCCACTGTGACTGCGCTTCACAAGAAGGGTGACATTAGCGACCCAAACAATTACAGACCCATATCAGTGTTGCCTGTTGTCGCCAAGCTGTGTGAAAGAGTTGTTTGCTCCCAGCTAGTGACGTATTTAAGCGAGCACCACATCCTGTGTCCCCAGCAGTACGGGTTCCGGCCGGGTTTGTCCACGGAGGCGGCCCTGCTCGATGCTGTTACGTACGCGGTGACGAACATCGATAGCGGCCGCGTGACGTCACTTGTCACCGCTGATACGTCGAAGGCCTTTGACAGCGTTGAGCATGGCCGTCTCCTGGACAAACTCGGTTGGTACGGGATTGACTCCGGATGGTTCTCGGCCTGGCTGAGAGGACGCACACAGTGTGTGAGAGGTGGATCAATTGCTATGAACGTGTCTCATGGAGTGATCCAGGGTTCGATTTTGGGGCCGATTTTGTTTTTGATTTTCACCAATGATTTACCTCAGCACATTCCACATGGTAAATTAGTCATGTACGCTGACGACACCCAGTTCCTTGACACTGACTCTTATACAAACTTGCAAAACTTGAGGGACCGCATCGAAACTTCTCTCTCAGTTGGACTGAGATGGTTCACCCAAAATCGTTTGAAAATTAACCCAGCTAAAACTGAACTGATAATAATTAAATCTAGACGTCAAAATCTTGATTTAACATTCTCGATTCATTTTGGAAACGATGAGCTCAAACCAAACCACAGTGTCAGGGTTCTGGGGGTCGTCATCGATTCTCACCTGATTTGGGATGGACACATCACGGGTGTTGTTCGTAAGTGCTTTTGCGTGCTGGTGTGCCTGGCCAGGATCCGGCATAAGCTACCGAGATGCACAAGACAGCTGATGATCGAAGCTCTAGTATTTCCCCACATACGTTACTGTTTCAGTGTGTGGGGAAGCTTTACGGTCACACAGAACAGAAGCGTCGCATCCAGAAAGCTATTAACTTTGGTGCGCGTATTGTTAGCGGTCTTAGACGGCGCGATCACGTGACTGCGGCGCTACGGGAACTGGGGTGGCCCACCGTAGACGAGTTGATCGCCGAGCGTGACCTCGCAAACGTCACTCGCATCATCGACTCATCTATCACTCCCGAACTTCTGCGCCAACAGTTCGCACTGCGAGCCAATGTGTCATCCCGCAACATCCGCGCCGTGTCCGACGGCCGGCTGCAGCTGCCCCGGGTCCGCACCGAGTTTGCCCGCCGAAGTTTTCTTTATCGTGCGGCGAGTGCGTGGAATAGCCACAGGTAGTCAGCTGTCACTTGTCATGTGGGTACAGGCACGGTTCTCACATGTGTTTTATATTCACTGTTTTATGCCAGTGTGTCATTTTTTATGTAGCACTTGTCTTGCCTAAGCGTTTTTACAATGTCTGTTTATTTGTCATTGACGTAGACACACTGAAAACAATTTCACCCGAAGCTGGCGAATTAAGCGTTGCTCTGCGGGTGGTATATGTGTATTAACTCGCCATGTCCAGATTCTAGCTAGAGGGTAAGCAGACTTGCCTGCCTTATTACTCGTAAATATGCACTGTACCCACAGTCTGCAGTAAGGTAGCTACCCAGCACCGGATATTGTCCCCGCGGGTGTTGAGTCATTGGCACAGCCCTCACTGAAAGAGTTGGAACTACTCGAGGTATCGTAAACGCATATCCGTGGATGGCGAACCTTTACATAACCTGCCCTGAAAGAGTTGGATCTACTGTTACAACTAGATGGCGTTGTCTCATACAGTTTTGAATTACAACAATTTTTTAACTTTTTTTTGAACCAATGATATGTTGGCACATTGTTTGGCGGTTTTCAAGTGGGGGTGAAAGTACAATTGTTAGGGTGCATCTTTAAAACCTCTGCAATATTCATCACGGGACGATTGGCAACGCTTTTTCTTCCGAAACTACCAAGTGAGACCATTTTGATTCTTATATACATAGGTCACGGAAGCAGCGGCGACCACACCGTTCCGTGCTTCTATCCTCAGGATACTGAAATCCTTCTCCTCCACGCCGCAACCCCCTTCCGGGCTGGACAGGCAACTTTATCTCATGCGGGCTGCTCCCTTGGAGCGGCACCGCTGCTCCCGAGGGAGCGCACCCCGTAGCCGGGTGCAGTGAGTGCCTTGGGGCTGGGTGGCCTGTCCTCTGGACGGGCTCAGCCCCGGCGACTCACTAGGGTGCCTGCCCAGACCAATGTCTCCCCCTATTTCCTATCATCCTTCCGGCTCTGCAATGGTCTTGACGACCGAAAGGGCCTAACCCAACAAAACAAACAAACAAACAAACAGCGGCGACCACACAGGCTAAGGTGATCGTTAACTTGCTCCGGCAGTTGGCATTTCACGGGTTTGTTTTGAGAGCTCTCCTACGCGTGTCCCCACCCCTCACATCCAACCTTTTGCCAGTTGTTCCAACTTACTCTCCCTCACTGCCCACAACCGCATCCAGTTGCCCCACGATGGGGAAGCGGCGCCGTCAGCGCCCGCTATCCGACTCCTTTTCCGAATCCGACTCTGACTCCCCTCTAAATCCGACTCCTCCCCCTGCCATGGACACCGACTCCCGCCCGACCGTCAACCCTCCCTCCTCTACCCACCCTTCGACTGATCTATCCGGTACCGACCCTCGCTCGTCCACTGACCACGCCCTGACCGCTGACCTGACCTCTGACCCCGCCCGGCACTCTGACCCTCGCTCGTCTACCGACCTCGCCCGGAGCCATGACCCTCGCCCGTCCACCGACCACTCCCGGAGCTCTGACCCGCGCACGAACTTGGCCAACGCACCTGCCTGTGCTTCTGTCGATCGTTCTCCACTCGAACCGTACTTGGCTCTCGACGGCTCTTATCTGGTAGTGAAGGCTAGCGATAGTGACTTCTCTTTCCGGAAGATCAACGTTTTCTGGCCTCAGAAGCAGATCGCTGCTATCTGTGGACAGTACGGTCCCGATATCGAAGCCCCAGCTAATGGTACACTGATCATCAAAACACACAACCGAAGAGATACCAAGGCGCTCCTGAAGACGACGGTTTTCTGTGGAAAGCAGGTGACGGTATCTCTCCACCAGGCTCGAAACTCCTCCAAAGGCACGATCTTCGCCCCAGAGCTCCGCCACATGTCCGAGGATGAAATCCTCTCCGAACTTCGATGCGAAGGAGTGACGCACATCCGTCGACTGACCACGTTCCGAGATGGTCAGAGGAAAGACACCAGCTTGCTCGTCCTCACATTCGAGACCACCACTCTGCCGGAAAAAATCTCGATCGGATGGCTCAAAAAAGACGTACGAGTTTTCATCCCTAACCCACTCCGCTGCTTTAAGTGTCAGAGATTTGGTCACGGTAGCTCCACGTGTCGACAGGCTGCCCGCTGTCAGAAGTGTGGCGAAGCCCCCCACGAGGACACGGCATGCTCCAAACCCGTCACGTGCCTCAGCTGTGGTAGCCCCGATCACTCGGTCTCGTCCTCTCAGTGCCCCGCGTGGAAGAAGGAAAAGCGCATCTGTGAGATGAAAGCAAAGTCTGGATGCTCCTACCCAGACGCTCGCCGTCGCGTGGAGGCCGAGACGGCCACCCCGACCCCTGGTAGGACTTATGCCAAGGCCGCCAGTACCGAGACATCTTCATGCAGTACCCAGACTGACCCGATCGCAGCACTACCCCCTCTCCAGCTGCTCAAACCTCTGAGCACATCCACCTCCGCATCCACAAACACGAACGACGTAACTGAGACTGTGTTTGGAGACCCGATGCCTTCCTCCCCTCCCGACTCACAGCTTGAGGTCTCGCCGGTGATCGCCCCGCAGGCCAAGCCCTCTGCCGGAGCTGGTCGCTCCACTGAAAGCTGGACGCGAGTTCAGCGGTCAAAAGGACCCCGCCCTCAGCCTCCATCAGAGGATGGACGAGCACCCAACCCTCGCATGTCACGACCTCCGACTAGAGTATCTATGGGACACAACCGTGCGGCAAGTTGGGCCTCGCCCCGTCGTAGTAGGTACGCTACCAAACAACACCCTCTCAAAAAAACAACTATAAGTTCCATACTCCAGTGGAACTGCCGAGGCCTAGTTTCTAACTGGGCCGAAAGCAAGATGTTTTTCCTACTAGTAGCCCCGATTGTTATAGCTCTGCAAGAAACCTGGCTTCTTCCAACAGACCCCTACAACTTTTCTTTGTTCAATTACTCTCTGTACCGCTATGACGAGACAGATGGCGAGAGACGCCATGGCGGTACTGCACTCTACATCAATAATGATTTTGTTCATCAGCAAATACCCCTCAATACACAGTTACAAGCAGTCGCTTGTACAGTTCGTTTGAACGGTCGCAATATACAGGGCTGGTAAAAATGGTTTTGGTGGCTCTGACCAAATTTTTGGCCATGAAAAGTGGCTCCTAACACTCGTAACAGAAAAGGCTTGAAAGTGAGGTGAACAACGTCCTTTTTCAGGAACACCTTAAAATTCATCAGTAACTATTTTAGTTTTCCTTATAGCTCGCTGATGTATCCTGATTTTGGGACATCGGCTGGTGTCAACTGTCAAACACAGCAAAAGAATGTAGGTATATAATTTCTTTTACTTTAGTTTAAGCTGGTTGGTGACAGAAATGTAAGGCACTAATGCATGCAAGGCAATGAATGTAGTTGACAAAAAAAAAATATAATACTGACTCACCAACAGAGAAAATTTCATCATCTCGCCCACTAGCATAGATCTTCCGCAGGCTGGTCATTGCCTGCGTCATCTGAGATACACATGATTGAATTGATGATGTCCTAAGCTGAGAACTGAAACACAAAGGCATCATAAGTGAAAGTCTAATATTAATTTTAGTTACAAAATGCCTGAAATATAAATCAGGATTGCTTATATAGGCATATTTTGAGTATGACTACCAAAAAGAAAAACTTGCAGAAGAGGAACATATCTTGATATTCAAAATTTAATTTAATTAGTAACAAATATGCTAACCATACTGGGTTGGTTGGCAAATAAATGAGTATCGTTAGCCACTTGAGTTAGGTATCCGTATGCATCTTCAAAATAAAAAACAAGCGCCATATTTATGTCTAGCTCCACAGCTTGATCAGCTCAAAATATTGAGGTAGGTGGTCTATGATATTGCTATGAGATTGAGATGTACTATACATAAGAGGAACAACTTCAAATCCAACCGAAAAACAACCAACATACCATGAAATGTACAGTTTGCCCGTGCCGCAACCCTGCACGAGACTTTTGACTTGATAAAAGTGAAAAGGCCACTTGAATATCATTATTTGTGTTCTAAGCTAGTCGGTAATACAGTGAACCGCCAATGGTAGAAGGCTCTGTGGCTCCCCGTTCGCTCAACACTAGGTCCTCATCAACTGATAAAAGTTACGGAGCCCTATTCTCCGTAGTGTTAAAGCTGGAAATCGACTGATGGCTCTTCGGTGATGAATGCTGACGCTGTTCGCGGTAAGCATTTACAGCTATTCTGAATAGGCTACCAGCTTTGTACTTTGTAGACAAACATTGCGCATAAGACCTCATTAGGAAATTGAAAGCTGTTACTAATTTAATATTTGTGCTCAGGCATCTTGTATTTTGAGGTTTGTCGTAGAAATAAAATGAAAATATGAAACAAAACTTAGCAGTTATCCTGCACATGCATACTTGCGTTGAAACGCTTATTTCTGGCTCCCTAAGTCGCTTGTACAGCTATTGTTCTGGCTCCGATATTATCAGCGAATCGGCGCTTTTTACCAGCCCTGGCAATATAGATATTTGTTCTATTTATATTCCTCCGAACACAGACAACCATACATTAGAAAGGCATCTTAATAATATTATAGCACAGTTTCAACATCCATTTCTCTTGCTTGGAGACTTCAATGCCCACAATCCTATGTGGGGTCGAAACATTCGAGTTTCCGATGAGCGCGGCGAAATAGTCGAACGTTTTCTCGATACTAATCAGCTCGTTCTCCTTAACAAAGGAGATAATACTCATTTTTCATTAGCACACAATAGTGAATCAGCCATTGATCTTTCCATATGTTCTCCTCAAGTTGCTACGTTTTTCGACTGGTCAGTAGATGGTGATATTTATCATAGCGATCATTATCCGATCAAACTTCACACAACATTCCAGTCGGATAATGATGCTATTTCTGCTTTCATTCCACGATGGAACCTTAAAAAGGCAGACTGGACGAAGTTCGCGGAATTTTGTCACATTGACCACCAAGAATTCCATTCTCCAGATCAAGCAATTGCTTTTCTTACAGACATGATCATTTCCGCGGCAAATAATTCAATTCCATCCACGGCGCAATCGCCAAGATGTAAAAGGGTTCCATGGTGGTCTGTAGAAGTGGCTAGAGCAATAGCCAAAAGGAAAAGAGCTTTCCGAAGATACTTACGTCACCGTGATAGAGCTAGCTTAATCTTACGGAACCAAGAAAGAGCAAGTTGTCGAAGGATTATCAGAGAAGCAAAGAAAACATCATGGAGACGCTTTCTTTCACAACTGAACCATCAAACACCTCTCAGTAAAGTTTGGTCACTCGTTCGTTCGTTATCTGGCAAGCGGTCTTTTTCAAGCCTTCCAGCACTTCAAGTTAATAACATTGCAGTAACACAGCCAAAAGAGATCGTAAATACCATTGCAAAGACTTTTGCTCACTGTAGTTCTACCGAAAACTACAGAGATGGTTTTGTTGAGTTTGGTGAACGAACTTATCATTTATTGCCGGATAACTTTACTTCAAACAACACAGAAATATACAACGATTTATTTTCTTTATTCGAACTACGAGAAGCAATCTCTTCCACTGGCAACACATCTGTAGGACCTGATAGACTACATTATGAATTTTTCCGACACTTACCAGACAGCACTTTACATCTTATATTGCTAGCTTTCAACGATCTATGGACTAGGCATATTTTTCCAAATGCCTGGCGAGAAGCTACAATTATTCCGTTACAAAAACCTGGTAAAGATAAAAAAGACCCTACTAAAGTTACCGTCCGATAGCATTAACTAGTTGTTTCGGAAAGATATTTGAGCGAATGGTCAGTAAGAGGCTCACATGGTATTTAGAAGAACACAATCTTCTATCTACTTTCCAAAGTGGTTTCCGTAAAAATCATTCCACAAACGACCACATCATTAGACTCGAAACTGACATCAGAAAAGGATTCAAACACAAACGTCACACCACTGCAGTCTTCTTAGATATTTCTCGAGCATATGATATGGTATTTAGACCGGCTTTGGTTTTTAAGTTACATAGCATGGGTCTTCGAGGACATCTGGCGCATTATTTATATGGTTTTCTGTCAGGCGTCCGTCATTTCCAAGTCCGTTTTCGATCTTTATACTCAGATACATTCAGACTAGAAAACGGTTTGCCACAGGGTAGTTGTTTATCTCCAATTTTATTCAACGTCATGATTAATGATATCTTTGATATGGTTCCTCAGGGCATTAGTTATTCTTTGTTTGCTGACGATTGCGCAATTTGGTGCTCGGACTCCGATTCGGAGCACTCCATTCCACGGTTGCAGACGGCTCTTGATTCCATCGATGATTGGTCCAAGAAGAATGGTTTCATTTTTTCACCAGTAAAATCCGCCGTTATAACTTTCACAAAAAACACTCGCATGCGTAATGCCGGAAACCTCAAACTCGCTGGTAATGTCATTCCTCGCCTTAACTCGTTTAAATTTCTTGGCGTAGTTCTTGACACCAGACTTAGCATGAAAAGGCACGTACAACACATCAAAATAAAATGTATGAGACGCATGAACCTATTTAGATGCATCGCTGGCACCGAATTCGGGGCAGATAGGAAAACCCTGCTTCGCTTATATAAATCGCTGGTTTTGCCCATCATCGAATATGGAAGCATTATCTATGCAGGGGCAAGTGATAACATTCTGAAAAGTCTAGATACAATTCAAAACGCATTCATCCGCATCGCCATAGGAGCCATGAAGACTTCGCCCATTCCATCCCTTCAGGTCGAAGCGGTCATACCTCCTCTTCGACTCCGCAGAATGGAGCAATCTTTGCGATACATAGCAAAAGTCTCTTATCACCCCAACCACAACACTTATGCATCTCTTCGCATCTTACCTTCAATACATCATAACTACTTGGGTCCAGCCGAAAAACGATCTGGTCTGACAATAGCTTCAAGAGCAAAAAAATTCTCTGGAGAATTAAACTTAAATCCGCCAGAGATCCATCCATTGCCGAAGCTCAATGTATCACCATGGCGCAGAAGTCATAGGGATGTTCTCTTTCTTTTCGAGACTTCAAAAAAAGACATGTTGGTAACGGCCATACAACAACGATTCCATGAAATACGCGATCAATACCATGACTTCCATTTTCTTTACACCGACGGCTCGAAAGAAGGTAATCACACATCGAATGCTGTTTTTTACAACAGCGACAATCAAATAATCTCGCAAACTCGATTACCAAATGGAACCAGTATATTTATTGCCGAGCAACATGCAGTGTTGATGGCACTGAAAATTGCACAGCAGAAAGAATGGCAGAAAGTTATGATATGTACTGACTGCCGCTCGGTTATCCAATCTCTTCGTTGCACATATCCATCATCGCCGTTGCATATACACATATATAATATTCATCACACATTATCAACACAAGGTGTGCAAATCAAATACATTTGGATTCCTGGTCACAGCGGTATATACGGTAACACGCAAGCTGACAAATATGCGAAAAATGCCCTCGCTCTTGCTCACATCACAAACATTCCCATTGAATACCAATGCATTAAATCATCTTTAAGACAAAAAACTCTCGCATTATGGAACAAACAATGGTCTGAAACAACACGAGCAACACAACTTCGTCGCATTAACCCTCGCGGGCCCGGGGGGGGCGTTTTTCGCCCCCCCTGGCGAATATTTGCGATAACTCCCGAACGCTTAGGGATAGGAAGGCGAAACTTTCAGTACCTTTTCTCCCATCAATTTGACATCTTCTGAAGTAAAAAATTTGGACCTAGCCCCCTTGATGACGTTACAAGGTCCATTTTTCTAGACCCCTGCACGGCAAACTTCGGCGTCACAGACGCAAACTTCAAATAGCTGCTAAAAATAGAGTTTTAGAGATAAAGACAAATTACGAGCACGGCTGTGTAGCGTTTGACCTAGAGAAAAATAGAAAAATAGTTTTGGTGACCTGAGGTCAGAGGTCAGGTCAACGACCCCGAAATGTGGTTTTAGTTTTTCGCAAATAACTTCGACAAAAATGGTCCTAGAGCTACGGCAGTGGTACCATCGCATTCGCCTTGTCAAGCCGCGTCGAATGATATATATTTTGTTCGGAAAAGGTCAAGTTTCATGTTGACCTCATGTGACCTCGAATGACCTCTGGTTGACCTTGACACATGAAAGGTCGTTTATGATGGATTTGTACCCGCTGATCACGAATCTGGCATCTATTTTCCTCTAAGCCTTCATTTAGAGCTTCTGGATGGCAAAATTGTCTTATTTATTATTACTAACTTGAATCAGTGAAATAGCCTCTAGCAGGGATACTCTTCTGTGACCTTGACCTTTGAGCAGATTTGTATCGTAAGATGGACCACAAATAGGGAACTGATAAGCCTCAAAACATTTCAAAACATCTTGGAAGTTAGCACGCAAGATGTGCGAAAAAGTGCCAAGTTTGAGGTCAATTTTGAGTGTGACCTTGACCTTGACCTTTGATTTGGAGCACATTTTCAGAATCCTCAGATTCTCTTCTTTCGTTTGACACCCATTTTTGCCGGTTTGATGCAGCCTGCCGTCCTCTAGAAGGCTTACTTTGAGATCACTACACATGTGCCGGTTTTGGCCTTTGACCTTGACCTTTGACCTTGAAAATTGACCTGAGGTCAAAAATTTTAGGTGCATTAGAATCGTCTCGTAAGGACCTTTCGTTTGGTATCGCTTTTGTTTCCGTAGCTCCCTTATTTACGGAGTTAGACAGGGGGGGCGAAAAACGCCCCCCCCGGGCTGCGGTGGTTGGGATTACCCCCCGGGCCCGGCCGGGTTAACCCGCGCCCTGCTGGGGGGGGGGTGTTTGAACACCCCCCCTTGCGGTTTTTCGCAAATATCTCAAAAACGGCGGCGCGGAGCGCCGCCGTTTTTGGTACACCTTATCATACATCAATTCTACACATGTTGTGAAAATTTCAGACCAAGGTCATTCAAGGTCAGGTCACCAGGTCACTTGAA